CAGAAGTACCCTGTGAATGCCTGTTCTCGCTTTCAGATGACATTGTAAATAATGTCTGTTATATTTCTGCATTTTGTTCATTAGTCAGGTCAGTTTCACTTCCTTGTTCTCTCACACTGAGGCCAGGCCTACACTCCAGACTTTTGATGGCATGACTGTGTTGGCTATGGGTGTGACAAGGGGTGATTTATAATTGATATAGCTGTCAGCAAAAGCCCCTGGTATAGATGCTGTTGCACTATTTTGTTGGTGTAGTATACCAGCAAAGCCTTCTATGTGTAGGCCTGTTGGAAATGCAAGCAGTCACAACACACAGTGTGGTAAACATTCAGATTAAAAACCTAAATGCATAGAACCCCGCACAGATACTAAATTTGTATCCACATCCAATCCAGCGATCTGCAAACGTAGTCCGTGGATACCAGCAGATTTGCAGGGCTCTATAAATATATTCTCACAATTTCCATTAATAGATTTTACAAATCCCCCATCCTCTTGAACTTTTACAGATCTTTTTGGGCCTGAACTAATAAAATGTTCTGTTTACATTGCAGCTGCTTTTTGTCAGACTGCTGCTTTAATTTTTTCATCCAAAATTACCCATTGACTTTTTCCTCCCCCTTCCATTTAAGAAGTGCATTTAAAGTTATATTGCCCATTTCTTTCATTGGTTATTTTGATCTCAAAATGGAAAGCAGTTTCAAGTTAAACCAACTACTCATTTTCATGGATTTTGGAAAAATAGGGGGGAAGCTAAAATGACTTCTTGGTACATCATTGAATTCATAATTCTGAGGGTAATTTCCTGTAGAGCATTTTTCATCTGGTGGTCCTTCAGTTGGTACCTGAATTTAGAAAGAACTGAAATTGCATGAAATATAAGGCAATATGGAAGAGCTGAACATAAGTTGGTATATTATCAGTTCCACATGTTTGCATATTCTGGATTGATGCATGCATTTCCAAAGCCTGGGTGTTTTCCAGGTTCATCCCCTTTAAGGGATTTTATTTCGTTAGTATGTGTAGCAAAATCTGCTCACCATGTGGTCTATAGCTAGCAGTTATCATTAACCAGCTGTTGCATTCTCCTGTAGCTTTAATTCAAATGCTAATTACTCTCCATATGCTGTTAATAAACTCCACCCAAAGCCCAGTAACATCACTGCTTGTGATAAATTCTAAAGTGAAACAGACTGCATTGTTGTCCCTTGGTAAAGAACTTGAATTGATTGAAGGAACTTCCTATCCTGGAGTGTCAAGACGAGATATGGCAAGGATTCTGATAGAATTTGAGAAGTAAAGAAAAGAATGTAGATGAATGGGAACTGGGAGGGAGTTCAGACTGTACACTGGAAAATAATCCCAAGGAAGATGCTCTGTTTTAATTGTGGAAAGCCTGGGATAAAGGTGTTGTACTGTTTGGTCTGTCTTCACTCTTTGAGAACCAAAACACTGTCCTGGGACCTGGATATAAATTTTGATTCTCCCTCCTGCCTGGCCGTCAAGATGGGAGAAGGCAATTGATATTAAATGGAATTTTACTTTGTGTTTTTTTGCGGGGGGGGGGGGGAAGCAGTATAGTGTACAAACGTCTTTCTGTTCTTTCTTTCATCTTGTCGTACTAAAGACCATTTCAGACGCATTTGAGACACATTCTTCTATGCACTTCATAATGAGATATCAAAATTTAAAATCTACGAGGCAGCAAAAATGTAAAGTTTGTTTCTCTCTGTGTGGAGTGCATGCGTACATTCAGGAATAGAAAATATGCAGGTAGTATGGGCGTGGAGAAGGAGGGTTTTTAAAGACAACATCCTCTTTTTTGTTTTCTGATGGAATTGAAGACTGATTTTCCTGAGACTTACAAGTTTGGAAGATGCCTAACTTCAGTCTCTTAAAGCAACAAATATCTTCAGGATGACATTACTTTTTAGGTTATTCTTAAGAAAAAAGTTCTTGGACATGAAGGGCGATGTTTGATTTAAGTGTTTTGAGTCCAGAAGCTATGTATAAAAATGCAAATAAGCATCAGGATGGTCTCTATGGTTAATATGTTAGGGGTTGGGTAGGACTGGGAGACACTTCATAGCAAATATATACTTGAGGTTACTTCCATGAGTTAGCTCTTTCTTCACAACATTTGCAAGTATAATGTAAAGTATTTCAGAAATGCAGTATTGTTTAAAAACAAAACCTTTCCTAAATTGAAATCCTTTGGTCTTGTGCTCTTTTTCATTGCTTCACATTACAATATTGCATCTTTCAGTGGAGGAGGTCTGCTACTGATACAGCAATAAGCTGTGACAAAATGTGCGTTAGTAGGCTATTTTTGCATGCCTTTACAGTGAGAAAATGAGGCCAAAGGTCAAGAATCTTCAGCCATCTGAGAAATGCACATGAATGGTTCATCAATTTCCCATTTTAAAAAATCCTTTCCTTTGAAGGTTTTAGTGCAATGAAATACTCTTTTGCTATAAAAAGTCGGTCCTAATAAAATGATGAAAAAATGGAAAACAGAGAAATACCTTTCCTACTATTTAAAATAGGCTTGTTTAGATTGTAGGCTCTTTGGGGTAGGTTTTTTGTGTGTCGCATCCAGCATAGTGGGATCCTGTTTAAGGACTCCAGGCACTATTGTAATACAAATAATCTGCACTGTCAAAGCAGTGTGAAGCAGGCAATTTGGAGGTCAGAATCTGGCCCAGTGTGTGTAGTGGTTGTATTTTGAGTGGTGAGGGTATAACTGTCCACCATTGTGAGCTGCTGCAAAGGTGTTGCGACAAAGAACAGTTTATGGCCTCAGCCATACTCTGAACTTTTAATAAGAACAGCTTCAGTCATATATGGCTACTGTGTACCTTCTTTCTTGTAGTCTGTCTTCCTGGAAGCATTCATTCAGAATCTTTCCTGCCTAATATGAACAGTGAGGGAACACTGTGTAGCTTCAGCATGTTACGTGACAATCATTCTTCAGATGTAAAAGGTTCTTTATCTCATCCTAGCATCATGCTACTTTTTTGTTGAATACCAGAAACATGTAGCAAAGTCAATCTAGTCTCCTTTTTAATTGTAATGAAAATTACCTGTGACTACAGCAGAAGCCTTTCTGTATGTGGACTTTTCCAGAAGAGTATTTAAAATGTTGAAAATACTTTCACTACATATCACTGAATTACTATACTATGTAATGCACTTATAAAAACATAGGTGTATATGCAAACACTCAGATATGTCAGTCATAGAAAACAATTGCTGCTTCTGCTCTCCAGGTAAAAAGAAATCTTCATTCAACCCCATCACACTAAGAAATATATATTTGAAACAATAGAACTTCCCTATTGGCAGTTCTAACAGCTTTCTTTCCAAGGGAATCAGTATATGTGTTGTATATATGTCTGTTTATATGTATTAAAGCATGACATGGACAATGTTAGAAATAGAGAACATGAAATATGTTCCTTCTATACCAGTCCAGGAGAGGAAGGAGAGTTTTGGTCATAAACTGGTAGAGATGCAGAACAAGTTAAGCTATCAGATATTGAGAGATGTTTTCCTGATAGTTTTATATTGCCCATACAGCTTTTCCAGATTTGTCTCACATTTTCAGTTGGTATCAAGATATTGCACAAATAGCTATTTTTAAACTTTTAAATGGATAGCAACTCCTTCATTTTGGTCCTGTTAGTGATAACTTTTTGCTAACATCTAGTGTAATAAAAGTAACTGAAATACTTCCCTGATAGCTTGTCCCTTAGTAATTGAGAATTAGGGTAGGTTGTCCATTTAGAAAATACAATCTCCACTCATTGATATATTTTGATTTCCACAACCAAATCTATCTACAGCTTCTCATGAGTGATGTACTCGAATACTTGGCTACTAATACCTAAACTGTATTCTTAAATATATTCACCTAAATTGGGGTTATTGCTCATTATGTACTCTATGTATCATGGCTTTTTTTAAAAACAAATGTTGTGGATAATCTAAGCACTATACTCAGATGTACAGACTCTCTTTTCTCAACCTGTGTATTACATAATTTTAACATTCGCTTTAATAATTTTAAATCAGTTCTGTATCTGATATTGCCTCTGTTGGAACTTAATCCTTCCCTTAAGGGGATGAAATTAAGCAGATGGTTTTCTTCTAATTCAAACAAGACTGATCTCAGACAGTATTTTGCACAATCACTTCTCTCCCAGTCACCTTTTTGCCTGTTAATAGAAAAAACAATTGGGGGAGAGGTTTTGTCCCAACATTCTCTACTGTTCGTTCCTTCTTATCTACATTTATTGGTGCATGTGGACCTTAATTGTGACAGCTGTTTTCATGGGGCGGGAGGGGCGGGGCGGTGTACAGTATGTGCAGCAGTAGTGGCACAGAATTCAGCCAAAGCACAGTGAAGTTAATAGACTCACATTGACTTTGATGGGTTTTGGATGAAATCTCTGGTGACTATCGCCTCAATAACATTCCAGACTCCAGAACTGTAAGGAATAAAAAGCTTCAAGGAAACGTAAAACACTCTGGATTATATATTTAATTAGTATTTTGCTGACAACGTAGATAGCAAATTTAGGGTAATTTTTTTTTCTTGCATGAATGCTGAATAGCGCCTGCCTCTCTCCCTCCGCCCCCCCTCCCCCCCCGACTGTGTTCATTTCATTCAGTGGAATGTCTTTTTAGTGGAAGCAAATATTTCTCCACTATGGTGCCTAATGTACCATGGGAGGTGTTCTGTTCCTTTCAACAGCTAATTGTCATTTAAACAGATTTGCCTTTTAATTTCCACTGTACTTTAAAAAAGTTATCCTGAACTTAACATTCCATTTGCCTGAATACATACAGAACATTGATTTGATTTCCTTTAAAACATGCTGCATTCTTTAAGGAAGTTGATATGCTTAACAAGTGACATTATTACTGTTCTAATGAGGGGGGAATATAAGAATGTAATGTGAAAATGCTTGTTTTAACTTTATTTCCTTTTTTTGCAGGAGAGAAATAGAAACAAACAATAACTATGTGGAGATGTCCTGCTAGAATTACAACACTAATGATGTAGACTCTGGAAATGCCTAATATGTCTAAGACGACGTTATTAAAGCTTTTTTTCTGCTTAAGGTGACATCTTCGAACACTTTAACACGAAATTGACTCTTCTTGTAATGGTTCTCATCAGTGCATCTGCCCTTATACTCTCTCACCAAACACACTTGAGAACTGTAACTTCGTCAAGCACTTTCTGTCCTGAAGCTTTTACCAGTATCTGCTGTCTTTTGTATTTATGCATCCTAGCTAAGGCACAGGAGCCGGAAGGAATGCAAGGATTCATTAACTCTTTGAATTTGTTAAATACTAACAATTAACCATTAGAAGTGATTCCATGATGTGAGATTCACATTGCTTCAACTTATTTTTTCTTTGTTGTAGTTTTTTTTTTAATTGTCAGTTTTTAGCTATTCAACAGATTAAAAGCAAAATCATGCCATATTTAGTCCTGGAGTAAAACTCAAGTCTAAATGTTCATGTGAAAATTATTGTAGTAAACTTTTAATATGGCAAAGCAACTTTAAGATGCAGTTTAGCCAAATGAAACGTAACATGAAATTATATTAGAATGACATTTCCCTTGTTTCAAACTGTTTGGTGTAAGAGAATATTAATATGCAGCTTGGTGGACAGCACCGGTTAATGCACACTTCTTTATTTTTTCTGTAATATGTATACCGAAAAAAGTGCATTTGTCTGAGGAACTGTTTGTTTGCTACCACTCAATGAATCTCAGTTTTGAGTAAATGTACCTCAGTCTAAATCAGACTTTTTATGACCTTTATAACTACATTTAAAACCTTTAATTCCTATTTCTGGGTGTTTGCAAGCCTGACAGATTGCTATCATGGAAGTGAAAATTTACTCCTCTAGGTGATTCACTAGCTAAATAAACATAATTCTTGTTTAGCAAGCATATACTGTTTCTCAGCTTTTTTCCTCCTATTATCACAGTATTCAGGCATTCTCTCTTCAAAATACTTTTGGAAAAAGACTGATCAGTGGATCAAGTCTGTGTTCACATCCATGTGTACCTGTTACTGGCTAGAGCTCTCTAACAAAGTGTTTAAGATACTATATTAATCTGAATACTTCTGTGCTAAATTTTTAATTTACGTATTGAAAATTATTTTTTACAATAACCTGTTTCTTAGTAACATGAATTTTACCTGATGGAAGAATTTGTATGATCAAAAATATCAAGCGGCTGTATGAACTGCATGAAATACTGAACAGTCTGTACAAATTCCAGAGATAGTTTCCTTTTTTTAGAACAGCAGTGTAGAAGACAGATATGTTAAAGCTTAAAATAGCAATACTGCAGATTTGAATGCCTTTGGTGTGTCTTATTATCCAACACAAATGTTTACATTGTGTTTGGAATCTCTTGCATTTACAACGGCTTCTAGTCAGCTAAGTTCTGACATTTAGGGACAAGCACAGCTTTTTTAAATATAGGCTATTTTACTATATATGCACTACTTTTTTCTCTTCAACACACACAATGAATATACAGTATTCTTTGTCCATTGATTTAAAACATTTTACAGTCCCTCCGTGGAGATTTAATTCAGTACCCTGGAGCATGGGATATAAAGCGTTATGAATACAAATGTTAGCTTGTCCCAGTATTCTGAAAGTTCAAAAGGTAATAGCACCTGGCAGTGTAGAGAAGGAAGCAGCTTGATTCAAATGCTGTGGGGTACGGGGAGGGGCCAGGAACAAAGGGGTTGGACAGAAAGGGGCAAGCTGTGTTTGTCGCATGGAGTTACAAGCTAGGGGACTGTGGTAGAAGGGTCTATAACCACTGAGCACAATTCCCTTCAGGACCTAGATTTGGAACCCTGAGTCCCGGACTCCCAGCATTCCTTTATTGTATAGCAAATAGCTATAAAATAGTGGCAGAATGTTTTGTCCTTCTCTCTACTGGCTAAAAGAAAAGGAGGACTTGTGGCACCTTAGAGACTAACCAATTTATTTGAGCATAAGCTTTCGTGAGCTACAGCTCACTTCATCGGATGCATACTGTGGAAAGTGTAGAAGATCTTTTTATATACACTAAAAAGATCTTCTACACTTTCCACAGTATGCAGCCGATGAAGTGAGCTGTAGCTCACGAAAGCTTATGCTCAAATAAATTGGTTAGTCTCTAAGGTGCCACAAGTCCTCCTTTTCTTTTTGCGAATACAGACTAACACGGCTGTTACTCTGAAACCTGTCCCTACTGGCTAGACTACAGAGGAAAATAGCCTACCACTCCTACCAGCTAGTCTATTTGCTTAAGTGGCAGATATTGATGCTGTGAGTGTAAAGGGTCTAATCCTGCTGGTGACCCATGTGGGCATCAACATGTTTCCACACCATGGAATTTGTTTTTCCTTTTGCTTTTTAAAACAATGTTCGATATTACAAGGGGACTTGTAATAACAGTGAAAGAATGTTAAGTTTGCAAGTCAAGCATTCGAAAATTAGGAAATGCCAGAATCAAGTTTGTTTGTGTACTCTTAATTCAGATTCCATGTATATCTACCTTGTTAGTCTTTAATTATATGATCACATACTATTTTTTCCCACAAGAACCCAGCCTAATTCAATGCACAGAACGAAGCAGGTTGTATGTAGTAAATGAGGCTATGCCTTATTTGTTCCAGAAGTTAAAAGATGTGAAGAAAATGACGTGGGATTGCAGGATGAGACAGAATGATCTTCTGGCTAAGGTAGTTGCTATAGAGTTCCTGTATGATGCTAGGCAAGTCACTTAAGACAAACTTTTCAGAGGTGGCCGCTAACTGTGTTTTAACTTTTCTGGGTGCCCAAATTGAGACCTGAGCATTCACACCTAAAATTGAAATCAATATACTTTAAATATAGAAAATGCTGTAAAATACTAAATACTCTATAAAATCAGATCCTGAGTGGTATTGGGCACACACAAAATTCGTGAATACTTGACATTTTTGGCCTTGAAATGATGCACAGAAGTTAATCTATACAAAGGTAGGACTTGTCATCCCCTATCTCACTGGAGTATTGTTAAAATAAGTTTTCAGATGCGTGATGAGTGTCATAGAAAAGCCCATGAAGAAAATACTAATTCTGTAGTCAGTGCAGGGTTTGGATGGTGTGCAGTAGGTAAGGCACAAGGTCACACACAAAATGAGAATGAAATATTGAAATAGTTACCCAGGATAAATCAAGTCAGGCTCCTGGTAGAAAATCTAGTAAGTGATCGTGTAACTAAAGACTGTCATAATATATACATACAAGAGGGACATATTAAGTTTGCATGGGTAGCCATAATTCTGCCATTCTTTAGCTTTTGAGTGCAGCTTGACTGTAATTTTTTTAATGAGAAATGCATCTTGTCACTTGAATTCCCAGGCTGCTGGCCTAACAAAATATGGGTACTATTTTTCTTTGAGGGACTTCTGTACTGGGACAGACTCTCACCTAGTCTTACTTAGGCAAATTTCAGCTCATTAGGTTTCCGCATATCCTTTGGTAACTTATTACATTTTTGCATTTAAACAAGTTTGCTCCTTTTAGAGCTAATCTCTTCTTCCTGCTTGATCTTGTAGCACTGACGTCCTGCTGAATTCATGACTGCAATTTTTCCAAAATTCATTGGAAAAAGAATTTATCTCAAAGCTCAGGTCTGTGGCACCAAACAAAAAATTGAGTTGGTCTAATGCAGATAACTGAAATAATAAAGATAAGACATTTTCACCGAGTCTTACCTGTAAAGTCCCTTCGTGAAGTTACTTTTTTTATCGTTGGAAATTCTCATTTCAAATGTTAAAAATGATTCAAAAATAAATGTACCATGTTTCTCTATGTATGGATGCTGGTTGATCTTTCCCAGCAGAAATTTAGTTAAATAAATACTGCCTTGTAAATTCCAATGCAGTGCTAGCTGCCTTATTTTGGTCCTGTCTAGGCTAGGCTTTCAAAGTAATTAATATCTCTGCAGCAAGAAAGATGTTTAAATGGTTCTCCAGATCTTGCTAACAGTTTGAAAACCTAATGCAGAACTGGCCTGTGTGGGGGGGAGGGGAAGGGGTTTGTTTTTTGTTTTTTGAAGCATTGACTTTTTAAAATGGATACTTGATATTTAAGAGGCATTCAAATACATAACATTGTTCATGGGGGGGGAATGGTTGTTAGAAAAATTTTAGAAAAATAATATAAGCAGTTCCATCATTTCAACTGCCATTTTCATTTTAAGGAAATGAGGCACTTGTTTTCAGTAACATTTGTGTATTCTTTTGCCATGTAAAGATCCTTTATCTATTTTTCTGGTAAAAATTAAGGAAAAGATTAAGGGACAATGGTTCTTTAACTTCATTCTTAGTAGAACATGGGTGTTTGAATTTTGTTTGTTCCTTCATGTGGATTAGACTGCAGTTAATTAGGTGAGAGCTTCTTCTGTTTGGCATGAAAACTCACCATTTGGTCCTTTTTTAATCCTTGTGAGGGTTTCAATAAAGAGAACCTGTTGACGTGACTGACTATTTCAATTTTATCAGATTTATAGAACTATATTGTGTTCCCTTATATCAACGTTTGCTTTATCATCAGATTCCAAAAAAGAGGAAAATTGTCTGAGTTATAAGGAATTTTAGATAAATGTTTTTGGCTTCTTTTAAAATTCCTATATTGCTATACAGGCTATACGTTTTTATACATAAATTACACCAAAAATGCATTTTAACAACGTGGATAAGGAGAGAACTTTGGCTAAATCTATATCAGAAACAAAACAGATTTGTCAAATCTGTATCAGTTTTCAGCCCTTGAGAATAGTTTGTTTTTTATCCAGATTATATAAATGCTGAAACAGATTTATATTGGTGACATGCTACAGTGCCTAGCATAATGGGGCCCTACTCCACTCTAACATTGGGACAGTAATACATTTTATTAATAACTCCAAGTGTTCATATTTCCAGAATTTGAATTACCCTCCTCCCAGCCATTAATCACTACTCTAAAGTCAAACAAGAAACTAATTGGATTTCTCCTTCACCCGATTTCCCCCTGTCCCAATCAGAAGCCACTCATGCCACAACCATACCAGAAGCACCCAGGCTGGGGCTTCAAGCATTTAATTCAAAGAGGATCCCCAAGGTTAAGTGGGTCCTCTTCCAGATAAGATGTGCAAGAAGGGGACAGTAAGAGGCTTCTCATTCTCTCACCCCCCCCCGCCCCACTTTCAGATAATGGGGACTCCTGAGCAGGAGGGCTCCTCTTCATATCCTTGTTTGCTCCTCGTTTAGGATCTGATGAGAGAAGCACAACTCTGGTTACCATCTGCTATATTCATGATGTGTGGTAAGATTACCAGCTGCTCTTTGCATAATTCCTTTTGTGGAGGGATCCTGGTGTAATCTGCTTTTTTCCAGATCCATAGCAGTACAGAAGCACCTCCTTTTTTTCCCCAAGACTTGTTTTCTGATAGGTGGGTAGAGAAGCATTCCTGTCATAACTTGTGTGTATAAACTCTGGCTCATGTGTAAATTACCATACAGTGTCCATCTGTTTCAACAGGCACTCCAGTGTTTTGATGTGGAAGGTGGGAAAGGATATAATTCCATTGGCTTTTCTTTAAAAAAAGGAAGATGGTGGTTTTTACGATGAGGTTTGGGGACACAATTTTTTCCCAAACCCAAATTGAATTGTGTAATTTTGGTTGTCCCTTTTAATATGGATGTGTGTAAGTTAATGCTAGGATTAGAACTTTTAATGTTTACATACCCTCCTTTGTGTGTGTCTGCAACTGCAGTCTTTGGCCTGGTGTACACTTAAAAATTAGCTAGACCTAGGTATGTTGCCCAGGACTGTGAAAAATTTCATGCCTTAAGTGCTATATTTAGGTCAGCCAAGACCCCCGTTGCAGATGCAGCTGGGTTAATGGAA